ACCGTTTAATATACAATCACGGTTAGGTTTTATAACCATTGTTAAAACTTCCTTTGTTTTAAATATGCAATTCTATACTTCTCAAATTCTTCCCATTTATTATCCTATAACTATTATAACCATATCAGAGAATTTACAATAACCTGTATTTTTGTTAACGATGTATAAAGAGCATAAAAATCAACTAACATTATGCATCAAAGGACAAAATTAATATTTACATCAAACCCAATACGTTTAAGTCCAAAGTAATATTCACATCATCATATACAAAAAATAATTCATTAGCACATCTCAATAAATCAAATAACAGGACCCTTAAGCACATTGTGAATAAATGCCTAACATTTATGAAGATAGACAAAGTCCTCAATGGGAAATAGGGTTGCGCCGTTAAACATCTACATAAGAAAGAACAAAAAAAGTGTTTAAAATATATGTCAACTTATATATTAATATATGTAAACATATTACGACATACATACCTTATCCCATGAATCAACAATATCGATAAGGACAATGCTTAACATGTGGTTCATGACATAATATCCACACTCGTATTTCCCGGGTTGTTTCCTCGTCTACAAATGAATGTAACCATACATAAATATGACCATACATGAATATAACCACACATGAATGTAAATGAAATAAAACAGGTAATCAGGTCACTTACTTTAGGAGAGATCCATGAGAGCTTTCTCCTAACATTATTCACCATATTCACTTGCTCCACAATAATGTACATTGAAAATGAATTAAACATATTATAAGCTAAACTACTTACAATATCAAAGAAAATGAATTAAACATACACTTACGAATTAATAATCTCTTTCATTTTCTTATCGAGTGGATTATACAAGGAACACAGTACAGTTATCGTATTCGTCTTAAATGATATTATGAACAATTGCCAATGACCATTAAATAAACATGAGCATATATATTATTAGTATTTTCTAAAACAAAACTAAATATAGAATACATAAACACCAATTACAAAAATACGTACGAACAGAGAAATGGTACAAAGTAACATTCTTTTCCTCCCTTATTTAACTGTTTTTTCAAGTAATTTTGAATGTCTTTTGGTTGTTTATACGCTCATCGAATAAAAAGTGGATCCAAGATTCCATAAAAACTCGATTTATTTAACTATATACAAACACGATGAATGTACCTAAATTGTTAAATAAAATGAATAAATTAATTGAGGAAATTCCAAAAAATGATAATGTTCTATAATGACATGTATATTCAACTATATACTTACGTGCATCAAACCTGCAATATCCCTACGTCCAACCACTTATATCCACCGAGAAAATCCCTTACATCTTCAGGACTGTAATAGAATAACTCCACACATGGACAATGTTCTAGCGAGAGAGGTTGTGTATCATTTATCATCGCAACGTTCAAGTATAACATGGTGATTTCATTTGAGTTATGGTCTAATAACTCATTGCGGTTAGCTGGAGGGGGGAAGGGGCTGAACAATTACTTCCTTTTATAGAAGCACGACATACAACACTTTTACTTGGAGTTTGATTATGATCATGATCATCACCATTAACATAATGTTGATCTTCATTTGTAGGTTGTTCGAGGTTTTCACTTAATCTCCACATCATAATATTCAGTTAGGACAAAAATAAGCACAATATATATCATACATTTCAGATAAAACACTAAAATCTCAAGTAAAACACATACAAAATGTAACTCTTGAAACCTTTCCATATCTTTCTCCCTTTTTTCCATCTCCTCGTCAAACATCTTCATTTGTTATTCTAATTGCTTCTCAAAATTTTCAATCTTTTATTTTTGTGCATTCAATTCTGAGCTTTCAGTTCTTTATTTTGAGACCCAAAAAATAACTTCAAGCCGACACCTTCTCCCACAACACGGACACGCCCACGATACTCATCTGTTTTGATCGCCTATACTAATATGTCATGTCGTGCTTCTGGAATAAATGCGCCTTCACGAGTCGCCTTAACCAACTTATCCTACATAACATGAGCAACTTACGTATATTGTTACCAACACATTTAAATAACAAATAACATAAGTAAAACAAACCATACTTACAATTTTCTCGGCAACTACTCATATTGCCTCAGAGGTGTACTATTCATTTGGTCTTAATCGAGCCCTCTTCCATTTCTCATGTCTTTATGGTGGGGATGATATGTGATTATCTCCTGTTTGTGGTTGTTTTTCAAGCATGATTCTTTTCTCAAGTTTCATGTAACCCCCACGAGACAACCTATGCGGATACATGTTCTTTGCCTTGTTTCGTATTCCTACTTCGCTTTTAATCTCTTATTAATACAATGAATAATATATATGATTAGTATCTATAACTCATTAGCATAATATTATCGGTTAAATAAGACTAGTAGTAACCTTGAATTCCTCAGAATGACGTATCTTCGCAAACTTCTTCCATTGCTTCTTAGATATAAAACTATATCTTTTCCATGGAAGATCAAGACCACTCTTAGGCTTCCTAGTATAGTCAGCCGTGAGTTGTGATTTAAATCCCCTCCAACGAGTACCGGCATAAGAGATCTATTTTTTTCAACTTTGAGTCATCGATAAACTCAAAATTCAACTATATTTAAATCAATGTATTAGAAATTATAGGTAGTGATATCTAATATATGAAAATTATAGTATGTAATACCTCAACGTCTGTCCATATACTTTCTTTGAATTTCTCATCCACTTGCTTCCAATCATCTATCAATATACTTACTTTTCTCCATCCAAGGAACACTACATAACTCTTAAAAGTAGAATAATATTCACAATCAACTACTCTATAGAACGAATCAAATTCGACCGAAGTTTTTTCACTTGATGAGTTGCGAACTGATGTGGACTGGGACATCATTGTGACGCCTCTTTGTGATATTTTTTATTGAGTATCATTTGTTTGAGTTTCATTCGCACAACACTCATTTGTATGTTTTTCTTTACTAGTATCTGATGAAGAACTCGACAAGGTCGGCATCTACGTTCAAAAACAACAATAACATGAACAACAAGAACCACAACAATGGAAAATGAAGTTTACTGTAAATGCATGGGGGAAATATTTACATACCCTAAACGTGATGACTAAGTAAATGATGTTGGTGTTGGTGTTGGTGTTGTCCTCCTTCCTTACGACAACGACGATGTTGTTGTCGTCTTCCTTCTCGACGGTGACAACTTGGTTGGTGTACTCTTTCTTCTCGATGTCACGATCACGATGGTCTTGTCAACCTTGACGATGATGACGAAAATGACAAATATACAGTGAAGAATGGATACTGAAGAGACAAGCTAGGGTGAACGATGTTTTTTTAGTTGAAATCGTGTATTGTTTCATAGTATTGAACGTTAGGGTTTAGGATTGAAATTGTGTATTGTTTCGTCTAGTTTCTTTTTTCAATGGAAAAAGGATACTGAAGAGACAAGCTAACTAGGAGTATATAATATTATAAAGATACCACAACGGTAAAAACCAGAAACCTTATGATATATTACTTTCATAGTGAAATTTCATAAAGAAGTGCCAGAGTTTAATTTATAATTAAAAATTTTTTAAATAAAAAAACAAACTATATCACAACGGTGGAACGAACCAACCATAGTCATAACCTTTTAAGTTTTTTATTTAAAAATAAATAAAAAAGAATAGGCGCGCCTTAATATTAATGGAATAATATATATGATGACGCTGAGGTTCGAACCCATGAAAGCTTGATGATTTCACCACGGTTGGCTCGTCAACCGTTATTATATACAATGAATTTTAAATCAAAAAACAAAAATAATATGAGAGTGTCTTAGTTTAGAGATGTCACCACAATGTAGGGAAGAACCGTGGTGACAGTGACGTTGTTGTTTACACGTTTTGTAATAGTATTTTTTTCTTGTAATAAAAAAATGATGGAGAGAAAGTTAAATGCAATGTTTGTATATCTCTAAATTTTTAACATTGAAAGTAACATTAACATAATGGAAGAAAAATAAAGAAAGAATGAGAAGAGAGAATGAGAGAAGGAAAAGAGAGATGTGACAACTAGGATTTTGAGGAAGAGAGAAGAAGATTGTTTCTATAAGAAAATATTCTAAGTCAATTAAAATAATTTCATGTAAACCAAAATAATACTAGCTGGAGTGTCATGTTCGCCATATTAACGATTTTTGACAAAATTTAATAAAAATGATCAATATAAATAATAGAACGTAATTTAAAGAATTTAAAATAAACATTTATTTGTTTATTAAATAAGAGATTAAAGTGAAATTTAAAATTAATTTAAAAGAATTAGGCTTAAATTTATTTGTATATTTTGAAATTTAAACCCTTCCATTTGTAGAAGGTGTAAAATTTATGTAGTCAATAACTAATTTAAAAAGAAAATCAGTTTTTAAATGCTTTTTGGTTTTACCTCCCCACGTTTTCCGCTTTCACAACTCAACCACTTTCACGTGTGACCTTTCTCTAGAGGCACTGCCGGCCTTCCACTAAGACACAGCAAGGCATGATGAATCGAACACAACATCCGATTAACCAAAAGACTCTTACCGCTGGGTGGGTGATGAAAGCATTTCGAGAGTTGAATTAAGTTGAAGAAGATACACCATTATTAGTAGCTCCACGTACACGCGCGACGCGCGTGATGATCATATTCCGTATTTGAATTACATCCAAGCGCCTTTTTCTCCCATGCAGTTCAATACAAACCCCACACGTTCCCGTTAGATAAACATCTCTTCCAAAAACGTAAACCCCCTTCAACGTTCCATCGCGAACGCAGATTCTCCATTCTCTTCCATCTTCAACCTTCATCTCATTCGATAATTAACCAATTACTTAAACCAAAAATCTCGTTCAGTTTCTTTCAATCAATCATTTCACAAGCTCAAATCCATGATGATCAATCTAATGCCGTTTTGATTTTCGCATTCCAGTTGCGGTTTTAGGGTTTCCATAGATGGAGAACACAGATTCCGCACAAAGCGTACGAGTTGCCGTCAACGTTCGTCCATTGATCACATCGGAGCTTCTCATTGGTTGCACCGATTGCATTTCTGTTGTTCCCGGCGAACCTCAGGTGCTGTGTTGTTTGTTTCCATTTTTAATTACTGATTTCAATATTTAAGATCGCTTATGTTTGAACTTTACAAATTATCACGGAATTCATGTATTCTTGTGTTTGATATATAGGTGCAAATTGGATCTCATTCGTTCACGTATGATTATGTATATGGTAGCACAGGACAATCTTCGTCTGCCATGTACGATGATTGTGTCGCGCCGCTTGTTGATGCACTCTTCAATGGATATAATGCCACTGTACTTGCATATGGTCAGGTATAATTTTCAAATGTTGCTTGTAAATTGTAATCGGTGCTGTATATTTGTATATTTATTAATTGTAGTCTAGAATTTTGTTGCGAATTGTAATTGAATATTTTCGTTTCTCATTTGAAAGACTGGCTCTGGAAAAACATACACTATGGGCACGGATTACAATGGAGAGGGAAGTAGTGGTGGGATTATACCCAAAGTCATGGAGACCATATTCTCAAGAGTTGAGACTATGAAGAACTCTATAGAGTTTTTGATTAGAGTATCATTTATTGAGGTGAGCTATGCTAGTATCACTTGTTATTGAGTTTTTATGTTATCATCTATTGAGATCAAAATTTTAAGACTGGAACTGCTAAAAAAATTACAGATATTCAAGGAAGAGGTTTATGATTTGCTTGATCCCAATTTTTCTAAAGGAGAAGTAACACCTACTCCAAAGATCACTCTGCCTAGTAGAGTTCCTATACAAATCAGAGAAACTTTACATGGAGGAATAACACTTGCTGGTGTGGCTGAGCCCGAAGTTAAAACAAAAGAAGAGATGGCATCATTTCTCGCAAGTGGTTCATTGTCACGTGCAACAGGCAGTACTAACATGAATAGTCAATCGAGGTAAAATGTTAACAAAAATCCACATTTTTTTGGATTTGTGGCTATTTTTTATACTGACTTAGTATGTATGAAACAAATTGATGAAATATTAATGGTTTGGTTATTATGTTTTGACTAGTCGCTCACATGCTATATTCACAATCACTATGGAGCAAAAGAAGGGTGATGATATCTTATGTGCCAAATTTCATTTAGTGGACCTAGCCGGTTCTGAACGTGCAAAACGAACTGGTGCAGATGGCATGCGTTTAAAAGAAGGTATTTCTCTTTGTTAGTGATACAACATGATTATAGGATTAGGAATAGAATTGCTAAAATATATGTATTTTGAAAATTTAGTCGATTGGTAATGCCTTTTTGCTGCTAGATAAGTTCTTTCTCTATGTTATTTAATAATCAATTTATTAATTGATTAGGAATTCATATCAACAAGGGTTTATTGGCGCTCGGAAATGTAATTAGTGCTTTGGGAGATGAGAAAAAGCGAAAAGAAGGAGGACACGTGCCTTACCGTGATAGCAAATTAACACGACTTTTGCAGGTTTGTGCATATTTTGTTTAAGTAAAACAAGTCTTATGCTTAATTTCTTATACTCCATAGCTTATCTTGCCCATTAGTACTTTGATAATTCTTTCAACAATGTAAAATAATGTAAGATAAAATGGAACATAGAAGCACATGTTACATATTAAAGTTTACTCATGCATTCGTTCATTGTTGGAGCGTGCTTCATCATTCTGTCTAGGATATAAAACATTTAAACAAGTCCAACACGGGTAGAATGTATTACAGCTACATGTTACTACAAAGCTTTAACTACAGTATTTAGTAAAAAATCCCTACAACATTAGTTGATATCTTATCATGTCATGTAATTGGATGATGTATATGTAGGATTCTCTTGGAGGAAACAGCAAAACAGTGATGATAGGTATGATGAGAAAGTTGTGATAGTTTGGTACTTTCTATCATTACATGTATTTTCTTACTTGTTTGGTATGTTACAGCATGTGTTAGTCCTGCTGACTCGAATGCTGAAGAGACACTGAACACTTTAAAATACTCAAACCGTGCTCGGAACATTCAGAACAAGGCAACCGTAAGTGTTGTATCTCTATCATTATACTCTTCTCTATGTGAGCCGCTGGTCTTTCTTTCTTGACAATTTGAATTTTCTTGTTTCAGATTAATCGTGATCCAGTGGCTGCTCAAGTGCAGACAATGCGGAATCAAATAGAGCAGTTGCAAGCTGAGCTTTTATTTTACAGAGGCGATGCAAGTGGACCATTTGATGAGATTCAGGTACATCCTTATTTTAGAAAGCATCAGACGTGTTCATATATTTCTATCGTCCTTTGATTTTTTATCTTCTTCAATTTTTCAGATTCTTAAACACAAAATATCCTTACTCGAAGCAAGTAATGCCGAACTAAAACAGGAGCTAAAAAGGCAGCAAGTAACTTCTGAGAGTTTAGTACAACGCGCTCTTGATGCCCAGGTTTTCTTTTGATTCTTTATGTTTTCCCTCATCAGTTATAATAAATTCGGAGTTCCTTGTGTTTTTTATTTGAAGTGCTTGGGCTTCACTTAAGTTGTTTAAAATATTTTTAGGTTGAAAGAGACCGACTGATTCTTAAAATAGAATCAGTTCGAAACGGTAAATCATGGGATGAGGTTGACTCAAATTCAAATCAGGTTTGACTGCATTAATTCTTTGTTAATGTGTGGTAACAATTTTCAGAAATGGATTCATGACTGAAACACGTTCTGAATCGATTCTTAGGATTATGATCTAGTGAAATCTTATGTGTCAAAGATCCAAATTCTGGAAAGGGAATTGCTACATCTGAAAACCCCAAAATCCATGAGTTCCAGCCATCTTGTTGAATGTTCTGATTATGATGACGATGAATATGGGTTTCCGTCTGAGTGTAATGTCAAAGCTGGGGACTTACCAGGTAATACATTGGAAAATTTGATTTAGTGAAGTATTGTCGCAGTGATCTTTTATGAGTAAAAATTAGTCTGAGAACAATATTGAGAAGAACAAGATAAGAAAAAGGAATAGAGAAAAAGTTGAAATGTGATGCCAAAGGAAAAGAGACAGAAGGGGAGATAGAGTATAAATTGACCTGATAAAAGGAGATTTTGAGATAATTATAACTCTTCATTGAGTATTATATCAATGCCTGTGGCTGATGCTAAAAATATTGTTTGTTCTAGACTTATTTGTTTGGTTGAAAAAGATCCAACTATTAAATATTTAAGATGACTTCATGGGTTCTAATAGATACTGCTGCAACATTTGACACTCTTAAAAAAAACGGCAACTTGGTGTCAGAAAACTGCTGCTATGTTGGATTTAATTTTAGGGAAGTGTTAACTGTGGCCTATTGTAGGTAGTCTTACCTCTTGCACTTACAAGATTACTAATCTCACCATTGGAATATGTGATCTCATAGTCACATGCCAACCATTTCAACTCTTACACCAATGTTTTTCCCTTCAAACATTTGGACATTCTTCTTTCTTTTTTATTTATTTATTTATGATTTAGCCTCATACGTTGTAAATTGGCATTTCATCCTAAATAACGAAGGATTTATATTTCTGAACACCTATAATTTGTTTACAGATGATATGGAAGATGATGAAAAGGAGCTAGAGCACTCGTCTCTTCAAGAAAAGTTGGATAAAGAGCTCAAAGAATTGGATAGGAAACTTGAACAAAAGGAGGTAAAAGTTTCTGTTATCTATTTGTATCGTATTGTGGGGATATGATAATCTTTCTGATACGTTTCTACTTTTTTTCCCTCTGGTTGAAGGCTGAAATGAAGTTGTACAGTAATTCTGATACTTCCGTTATCAGGCATCATTATGAAAAGAAACTCCTTGAGATGGAACAAGAAAAGAAAATTTTGCAGGTAGGTCTGTGATATGATCTCTAGGTTCTCATACATTTTAAGAGATAGTGTATTAATAATGTCTTTTGTATATTGTTGGTAGAAAGCAATTGAGAATCATAAGTTCAATCTCACAAATATTTCATCCACATCTGATGACGGTTCTCAAAAGTTAAAGCAAGATTACTTTCAAAAATTGAATTCTCTTGAGGCACAGGTAAACTGTTATTTGGAGTGTGTAAGTGCTGAATGGCTACTCAAAGTCACAAACTGACTATTTGCTTTACAGGTATCTGAACTGAAGAAAAAAGAAGAAACTCAGGCTCAACTCTTGAAACAAAAACAGAAGACTGATGAGGCTACAAAACAACTTCAAGATGAGATCCAAAGAATTAAAGCCCAAAAGGTGCAATTATCATGGAAAACTTTATACATGCAGAGTTGAACTTTTTCTATATCATGTTTGAATCCGAGTTGAATTGGTCATTCTTGCATCTCAATGCTAATTTGCCGTGATTTTACAGAGCTCAATATGTAGCTTCTCTCTGCCTTGTGGTGCCACTGAGGAACTGGTTATTTCCTTAATCCTTTTGGGTTATTACTCATGCTTGATGATTTCTTTTCTTTAGGTTCAACTTCAGCATAAGATTAAGCAGGAGTCTGAACAATTCCGGTTATGGAAAGTTACTCGTGAAAAAGAAGTTCTCCAGGTAAATGCTCAAGGGACAACTTCCCGTAACCTTATTTTATAACAACCTCTGGTGTTATATGGAGGGTAATTATTTCTTAACTTCTAGAATTATATTTCCCACTAGATGTTGGTCTCATCTATACTTTGACTCTTACTAGTGGAGGGGCAGGGAATCACTCTTTTTAGTCTCTATGGAAGCATATGACATCTTAAACTAACGTTTTCAACAAATAAAGTAGTTATGAAAGATGGTAACAAGCCTTCTGATGTATATTTTGATTCATAACCAGCTTAAGAAAGAAGGCAGAAGGAACGAATACGAGATGCATAAGTTGCAAGCCTTGAATCAGAGACAAAAGATGGTAAGTAAATTTAAATCACTTGTTGCTGATAGAACCCATAAAATCAAGATAACCAAACTGTATATAATTATATTATTGAATATAAAAGATGAGCTCAAAAGCTCCACCATGGTGAAAATGGAAAAAGAAAAGCAAACCAGCGTTCTATGAACTCCTAATCCAGAGCTAAGCTCCTAAACCAGAGAGAAATCTCTCCTAACTGTTTTCTCACAAACTTTCTGAATGCCTTCTCTAATCCCTTTCCCTCTCTTTGTTAACATAATATTCCCTAAAATTAAGGAAATATCCTAACTAGCTCTTGTTAGACTACAGCGGCCCAGACTCAGGGTCCTACCCGTTGCTGTTGTCGATTTTATGTAGTTCATCCCACTTTTTTTTATATATTTATCGCAGGTACTGCAAAGGAAGACAGAAGAAGCTTCCATGGCCACAAAAAGGCTGAAAGAACTTCTGGAATCTCGAAGGGCTTCCTCACGTGAAACTATGGGTTAGGAGACTTATTAGTTCATGTAGTACTTTTTGCTATTTTGCGAGCTTACTAATAACTGAAAACTTGTTTTATACATAGGTGTTGGAGGAGGGAGTGGTCCTGGAGTTCAGGTACTAGTAACTTTATGGTGATTTTTTAAATCGTACAGTAGGATTAAATTGTTTAGTAAACATTGTAGATTATTCCTCTCACTTCTTGGCATACTGATTAGACTATGTATCATAGTTTTAGGCATGCTATAATGAGTGGATGTCTTTGTTTTGGTATCTATCTTCTACTTCACACACAATTTTCTCTTTGAAAGGCTTTGATGAAGGCAATTGAGCATGAGCTTGAAGTCACTGTCCGAGTGCATGAAGTTCGTTCCGAATATGAACGTCAAATCCAAGAGTAAGTTCCCTCTACACTTTTTTAGATTTTCTAAAATCAGCAGGTGGGTGTTCTATTAAAATTATGAGTAATTTTGAATTTTGAAGACTAGGATGTTGGAAACCCTATGCCTTTTATATCATTAAGTATCTGAAAATCTAGGTTATATTGTTATATTCTCCATTTTTTTTAAGTAGGCATCAAGTATGTATTAGCCAGTTGGACTGTACATATTTGTTTATTTTACCTTGTATGTATTTTGTATGCTAAATTTGCTCGTTATACCTTCTTCTCCATACAATTATAACATAAAATATGCGACAGACTAGACTTATCATTTACTAATTTTCTTGGCTTACAAGTAAGCAACTGTGAGTTTGGACGAGGTAATTGGAATTTCTGAATTCCCTTTGTTTATAAATTTCTATTGTTCAATGTAATAAGCACTGTAAAGTATAGTTTGGATTAGCATGTAGTTTATAGGTATTCCTAATCAAAATTTGTTTATAGTTTTCACTTGCAAAAAATTTGTGTAAGTTAAGTTCTCATAGAGAAGTTAAATAAGAGTCTCTGAATAATTTACACCTAAACGTGGTTTTCAACATACCAGAAGTAATTGTTTAAAACCCACAAATACTGCAAGATACTTTTAATATTTTCTTTATAAGTTCATGTGATGAAGTTTAATCAAATTTATTCTACATGTGAAATTGTGATTAATTTTTTGCATTGAAATCTATAACAGTAATTGAAGTAGAGTTACGGATACCCAATAAGTATAAGTCAGCTGGTGTGACAGTTTCATAGCGAGGATTAAAATTGTTTCTATCGGGAATCACTATTTCTGTATGTTTTATACAGACTTTTATAGTATTTTTATTTGTTCAAGTAGTCATTGTTTTTCATTTTAGGAGAGCTAAAATGGCCGAGGAGATGACCAAGTTAAAGGAAGCAGCAGAATTGATGAGCCAAAATAATACCAGGTGAATTGCCTTTGAATTAACTTTTTTTCTTATATTTGTACAATGTAATCTCAGGTTTTTTCTTTGGCAATCCATGTTTGACAAACTGTCTGATTGGTTGCTAATGTAGTGATTCCCCCATATCAATGTCCTCTGGTGCAAGAAATTCTAGGATTTTTGCCCTTGAAAACATGCTTTCAACATCTTCCGCAACTCTAGTGTCTATGGCTTCCCAGTTGTCAGAGGCAGAAGAGTCTGAACGGGGTTTTAGTGGCAAAGGACGTTGGAACCATGTCCGGTCTCTTGCTGATGCCAAGAATCTGATGAATTATTTGTTCAATATAGCATCTTCCTCCAGGTATTAACTTTCATGTGCCCATGATTTCAATTAATTTCCATATACCAAAGCTGTAAAACTTTTTTATAATTGCATTCAATCAAATTACTCAATAGCTATTTTTAAATATATTTTAGGAACTAACATACAAAAGTAGCATCATGTTGTAATTTAGTTGGATGCATGTGCAACTTATACAAATTAAACCTTTTCAACTTATACATTTTTAATTCTAAACTGGACTCTAAATACAGCAGGAATTAAATCACAAGTAATCAAAATATTTTCCCTTTGTGATATGGCTGACATTCCCCTCTGGCTTTTTTCTTTTTTTATCTCAGATGTTCATTGCGAGATAAAGAAGTAATTTGCAGAGAGAAGGACATGGAAATAAGAGAACTGAAAGAAAAGCTAGTAAGGCTAAGTTACTCACTTCGACAGTTGGAAATGATAAATGCTGAGCTTACTCATAAACTGAAATTGCAGGTTTGTGTATTACCTTTATAGATAGCATCATTCGGATGAAGCTTTATGTGAATAATTTGTCAATCTTTCTCATCCCCAAATTTTATCAGATTGAAGCACTAACTATCCTAGCACTTTGATTCCTCAATTATTTTAGTATTTTATTCTTAAAAAAACCATTTTCCCATATCATTTGAACTCTGTGGCAGAGTGCTGCTTTGCAAAGATACTCAGAATATCCAGGGAATTCAGAATATTCTGACTTGAATGTTGGAGGTCACAATTATGACTTGCGCAAACAGGTAGATCTCACATATTAGTATTACTGGCTCTTCTATGACTATGCCTGCTAAGGCTTTTATCTCCGCATTAACAAGCATATGGCTATCATTTACATAGCTGCTACTTATTTTACCATTAGGAACTCCAGCAGTCTACCCTTCTACAGGAGGACATGGATATATCCAACGAGACAGAATCAGATGATTATGATGTGGAGGAAACAGAAGATGAGTGGAAAGAATCAGGAAAGTTAAGGCCTGAGAAAAGAAAATCTAATAGCAGACGTTCAGAAGATTTCAAAGACAATTTAAGTAATAGACTTGGAGGTGCACTTGGGGAAGCAACATCAGGTATTTGCTGTTCTTGTAGCAAAATCTCAGCATGCAAGACAATGAAATGCGAGTGCAAAGCTATGGGAAATAGTTGTGCGAGTTCTTGCAGCTGCCTAGCAACCAAGTGTGGTAACAGAGCATCATTCTTAAATGAGTCACATGAGCCAATACAATCCGAAGTACTTCTTGTTACTCAAGGTGCAGAATTACTTCAGGAAGCACTAGCTGATAGGCCCGCCGAGGCAAACAATGGTCAAGGCCCCAGAAAACCTCTCTCTGACATAGGAAATACACAGGTGAGTGTTACTCATTTTTCATCATCTAAAAAGTCAAAATTTCTTTCATATTTAGCGAGTTTAAAAGTTATTAAAATTAACTAAATGATATCTAAGCTATTCTTCTATCAAACTATTTAGTCCCTAATAACGACTAAATTGTTGAATGAAATGATAATTTAGGAACCTTTTAGTTGATTTTGATAATTTAGTGACTAAATTGATAAGAAAACTGATAGCTTATAGACTAAATTGTCTTTTTATTAGTTAAAAATAGGACTTGCTAGAGTTACCTTAAGAAATGTATTAAATGATCAATGTTATAAACTGTAGTTTCAGTGCATTACTAAATTTAAAAGACCATAATTTTCAATAATTTATTTTTCTAATATTGGATTGGAATCCGATACACTTAAAACACTTGTTAGCATTTGTTGTTAAAAATATTTCTTTGCATTAGGCAAATTCATTTAATTTATAAACCATCTCACCTTTTCATTTTATCCTCTTTATTACTGCATTATAACTAGGAGTAATTAAAGTCAACAACCACTTACATCAATTACAATAAAATACTAAGTTGATGAGTAACTAGAGAGTTATTGACTTAATATATTTAAAATTCGATTATTTAAGAAGTACTAACAATATAGTATACTTAAAAAATGCCAAAACATCATATACACTCATAATTATATATTTAACTTTATGGTTCTAATATAGTAAGTACATCCATCGTTCATAATTGTAACCTATTTTAGAAATGATATTTTTTGTCAAAAAACTTAACGATCATAAATGGATTTTTATAAAAGAATTCTTGTCTTAACAATCATGAATGGATTTTTATAAAATTATTCTTATCTCTTAATGAAAATATATTAGATAAATAATTGCTATCTTTAATCGATAACACAAGAAACTGTGTTATAAAATTGAATACAATCAAATTAAATATTTTTAGTTAGGAATGAGTGATTTTTTTTTAATGTGTAATATTTTCGACAAATATCCTAGAATAGAAAGAGTAAACTCTTCAATAGTCTAATTTGCAGAGTACACTTTACTGTCATCGCAGGTCAAATCAAATGATCATGGAATTCAGAAAAAGAAATGGCAGAGAGCCACTATAATTCTTATTCCGGATCAACCACCACCTCCCATACAACCACGGAACTCCCAAGTCTCCAAATCCAAGAAACAAATTTACATGAACAACGTCAATGAACAAAACATTGCTGCCAACACACCACTAAAATTGCCCAGGTCTAAACCGGAATATGCTGCCTCTGCCCCCAAGGCAGAGCGTTGTTTTGTGGAGCCAGACTCACCCTTGAAAATATCAAGGAGTGCGCGAAAGGCATCATCATCGAATGGTGGCGGGCCATTGTGGGACAGGAATGCTTCTGGTAAGTCAGATGAATCTGTCAGTAAGGAGCCTGAAGTTTTTGAAGATAGAAGAAGGCCACGACAGAAAAAAACACAGGAGGAGAAAGAGAACAGCAGACGCTGATTAAGATTAATTTGTAACCCTTTTCGGCGACGTGTCTATATATACCCAAAAGGCCATAGGGAGCTAGTTTAATGTTTAGGATCTGCAGCAGACAAACAGGGATCGGCCTTGATTTTGCAGCAGACAAGCATTTTGTATAGTTTCTTGAAATCTCAGGATAAGGATATCCACTATGCACATATGTAGAAGCTATTGCTGTTGCTTTCCTATGGCTCTAGTTCAAGCTTAAAATTTTCTGTTATACCAAAAAAAGTATCCAATGTCACATGTATAATAATAGTGAAACTCAGAGAGCATCAGCTATAATTCTGATACTCAAATGAGAGTGTTCCATGGGAAAATGGATGACAATAATGCTATCGCTGCATGAGTTATTAATACGTATGCTGCTATTTGTGAGAGTTTGGAAGTGTCTTAAATTGTTGGTGGTCAAAATTCTTTGCTACAGTTCACTCGTTGGTGGAGTATCTAAGTTTGGTTTAAGGTTATCTTTTGGTTTGCTAGGTTTGATAGTGTTTATTAGAAAATTACCAATCACATAATCAGAGATCAAGATTTATCGCATTTATAAAATTAGCTTTAGAACTTTTGATAGGAAAAAAGACTTATTAGAATTCATTTTGATTAAATGATAAAAGATATGAATTTTGTACAGATAATCTATCATTTTTAATAGAAGAATCATGTGAATATACCAAAACACCGTATAGATTATTTGAGATTGGTCATCAACTCAATTTAAAATAGAGAAAAATATTAAAAGAAATTATAACAACCATATTTTATAAAATGTATATAACTTTTAGTGTGTATTTACTTCTCATATCTCTTTATAAAAATCAAGAGCATCTTCGATAGTCCAATCTATCTTTGAGTTTTTTGTATGATTTTCTTTAGTAATATGCATTTTATAGTAACCGCTATTTAACTGTGATTTAGGTAGTCATAATTATAAATATAGGGTGAAAGGAAAAAAGAGAGGGGATTAGATATTTTGGATGTTGAACAGTTTGTATTATTTGTCAATTTAACTGTCTCGCTGAAAGTTAAATCCGCAGTCTTTGTTCCTCTGTTCTAGAGTCATGTGGCACATGAGAGGTCATAGATCAAAAGCAGCGAGGTGACCACGTGATCGGCACGTGGGCGATATGGACACATCACGAGACTTCTTGAGAAATAGGTTACTTGCTACATCCTTGATGGAGAAGGGTTAAACCGATTGAATTTGAGGTAAAAATCAACTTGGTATCGAACACGGGTCAAAAACGAGTTATTAGTATATAGCATAGGGTAGCGACAATTGATTTGTATCGCAGAGATTCTTGATTTAATTAACTTAAGTTTGTAATCAATAAAAATAAAGGGGGGAGTTCAGTTTGGTTCGGATAGGTGCCTAAGTGATGATTAAAAAAATGTATGATAAAAAGCGATGAATAGACAATTATGACGATTTTAGAGTTCAATCTTTAATTTCAATTATATTCTTATTTGACTATAGAATAAATTATAAAAACCAATCACTGAGGTCTTTTTTGGAACACGTGACATAAAGGTAAAACTCACCTAGTAGGTTGGCCCTTAAGAATATGTAATCCATGAACCAGCCGAATTTCATTTTATTACAGAATCAATGATTGAGATGAATCGTATTTCGCATTAGTGTTGACAACAATTTAATGTAACGAACTTTTGCATGAACTTAAAACTAGACAATTCTCCAAATCTTTGGGTTTTGTGAAATTCATATTGGAATTGCAGAATGGTTTATACTTCAGAGCAGTGTATGGTAATTGAGATTCATAGAAGCAATATGTGTTTTACTTGGAATCATTTACGCTAGTACCTCCTACCTATGTAACCTTTGGGCAACCCAAGTGGATGTTCATGGAAAATTTTAACACGGTTCTAGGAGCGCATGAAAAGAAGGATGGTGGGCCTCCAAAGAACTTGTCTAGCAAGGACTTCATTCTCTGGACCAATGCCTACCAGTTAATCCACTTGTACGCTCGGGGGTTCAGTTTACCTAGAACAATGGTAGATCAAGGAATGCTTTTTGTAGCACTTAGATTGGATTAGGCAATTTGCAATGGGCGGTGGATGAGCCATTGGAATCACATCAACTATTATTCTTCTATTAGACATTGCTCGGGTCATCATCCAATTATCATTAACCAAGACCAAACCAATTATACTAGTCATTACTCTTTCAAATTCTACAAGAGGATTATGAGGCCCTTTGTCAGATTCTTTCTCAGTAGGAAATTAGAGACACAATGTTCAATATGAATGCAGATGCTTCCACTGGTCTTGATGGTATGGGAGAGCACTTTTATCAAGCTTATTAGGATATTGTCGGGTCAAATGTATCTCTGTCTGTTCAATTCTTCTTTATTAATGGCAAAATAGAGGAGCGTATAAATCCAGAAATTATTGTCTTGATCCCTATGGTCCAGGGGGAAAATCAAATGTCTGGTTTTAGTCCTATTGCTCTAACAAATTTCTTTTTCAACATGATTAAGAGTTTTAACAGCGCACATTAGACAACCCTTTTGTACAAAAGCGCTGCTATAAGTGAATTAAAAAAAACACGAAAACCGTATAAAATAATTAGTAAAAGCGCTGCTAAACATATGACCTTAGACAACACTTTTAAAAAGCGCTACTAAAGGATTGCTTTAGAAAGTGCTTTATCATAAGCGCTGGTAAAGGTCCACTTTAGACAGCGCTTTAAGAAAGCGCTGTCTAAAGTCATAAAAAATAAATAAAAAATTTAGAAAAGCGCTGCTAAAGGACACTATTAGCCAATGCTTTTCAAAAGCGCTGCTATAGGTCCATATTAACCAGCGCTTTTAGAAAGCACTGTCTAAACCCTTATAAGTGAAAATTAAAAAAATAGAATCTGTGTATTCACAGATTCACGAAAACAGAAGCTAGAAACCCTTTCCCTCTTTCAACAATGAGCGGAACCCATTTCCTTCTCCGTCTTAAATCCTTCGTCGTCGTACACCGTACTCCACCATCTCGCTCGGTTTTCCTCCACCCACACCGGTCGGTTCTCAAGGTATGTTCTTTATTGAAAATGTGTTTAACTCCATTGATGTCCAAACTGAGTTATCCTCCTTGAAAATGTGTTTATATCCATTGATGTCCAAATGTGTTTATCTTCTATTGATGTCTAAACTGGGTTATATGTATGTATTTTAATTTTTGAGTTCTTGGTAGGGCTTGATATATAACAGCAATATTTTTAGCATTTAGCATTATTGAATTTTCTTTTGGTTCTATGTTTTGGAATAAAAAAGATGATATATATGATGGTTTTTTTTGTTATTTTAATTGGTTTCTGAATTATTTATCATGTTTATATTTTCCATAAACTAGTATTTTGTTACTAGTATTTTGAACCTAAATATATATACAACTTGTTTTTGATGATCCTTTTGTATTGGTGTAGTTAGGTGAAGACCATCACCTATTCGAAGAACATCAAAGGCGCATCATCCGCCGTCGACACCAATAGCCCCTTTTCTTTCTTTGGTAAGTCAAGTTCAAATTCTATATGTATCGATCAATTAAAAAACACAATCATTTTTATATAGATATATTTATTTTTAGTCCATGTTATTAACTCTAGAAATAAACTTCTAGAAATAATTCATTTAATTCAAACAAAAAGAGAATAATCCATTTATAGTGTTTTTGTTTACTTGAATAAGTAGAAAAAAATGGATAAAAAATGGATGTTTGCCGATCGATTGTCAAAAGAGTACGAGAATAGGGTATTGGAATTCGTTAAGTTTGCTATTGAACACGCCAAAGACCCCAGTCGAATGAAGTGTCCTTGCTTGGTTTGTTGTTATGTGGGTCGGGTTAACGCAGATGGATTGAAATTGCATTTACTAATGCGTGGAAATGATAGAAGTTATGCGTGTTGGATATTTCACGGTGAAAAAAGTAACGACAACGTTGAACCGGGGGAGAAAAGTAGTACGACCTATGCTTCAGACGACAAGGACACAGATATATACGATTTTGATCGAGTCGAAGAGATTGCAGATGCACTTGAAGAAGATCTTCAGGATTGTCCCAAAATGTTTGAGAGATTGGTAAGCGATGCAGAGAAACCATTGTATAAATGGTGCACTAAATTCAAAAGACTGTCTGCGGTATTAAAGTTGTACAACTTAAAGGCGGGCAATGAATGGTCAGATAAAAGTTTCAGAGTTATTAGCCCTTATGAGAGATATGCTTCGGAGGATAATGTTCTTTCTAATTGAACCTATGAGGCCAAAAAAAATGTTGTACTCTATTGACATGAGCTATGATAAGATACATGCTTGTCTAAACGACTGCGTTTTGTTTCGAAACAAATATGCATCGTTAAATGAGTGCCCTAAATGCGATTTGTCTCGATATAAGAAAAAATTGTCTCCAGCAAAAGTCTTATGGTATTTTCCTATAATTCCGAGATTTAGGCGGATGTTTCGTAGTGAAACCGATTCAAGACACCTTACTTGGCATGCAGATGAAAGAATTATTGATGGAAAGTATTGACATCCGGCAGATTCACCATAGTGGTCGAAAATTGATAATGATTATCCTAATTTTGGAGAAGAAGCAAGAAACCTTCGGTTGGCTTTATCTACTGATGGAATGAACCCGCATGGTCTTCAAAGTATCTCACATACCACATGGCCTGTGATTCTTATGATTTATAACCTACCTTCATGGCTATGTATGAAGCGTAAGTACATGATGTTATCTATGTTAATATCTGGGCCTAAACAACCAGGGAATGACATAGACATATACTTGACACCTTTGATCGAAGATTTAAAGATTTTGTGGGAGAACGGGGTGGAGGTTTATGATGGATATAGGAAAAAAAGTTTCAATTTGAGGGCAATGTTGTTTGGCACAATTAATGATTTTCCAACATACGGGAATCTATCTGGGTATAGCATTAAAGGTCAACGTGCGTGTCCTGTTTGTGAAGATGG